CCACCGGTGAGTGACGCGAATGTTCTCCGTCTGCAGGCTGCCACCTCTGGGGGGAAAGAGCATAAAGCCTAATACTCTAGTACGAATGCTCTGCCATAAAAACGGGTTAATTAAATGGGTCTGCATGGCTGCACTTGCCCAGGCTGCACTGTGGTACAGTGTACACCCCCGCACGCACACACATGACCACGCAATCAGTCATGCATGGGCATATGCACGGCCGCACGACCGCAGTACAGTAGTACAGGAGTACAGTAGTACAGCAGTACAGTAGTACAGCAGTACAGTTCCTGTTTATTCGCGAGTGTGCGCACATTCGATGTGCAGGCCAGGCCAGTCCGCAATTATTAAATTAAATTTTAATAACAAATCGAAAGAGGGGCAGACGTGGGGCACTGAAATATGGAATTAAATTAAAATTATTCGTAGCTTTCACTTCTACGCTGTGGCATAGGCCTAGCAGATACAAAAACAGACCGTTGCTCGGTTTTTGCATCTATGAAACAAATGAAATATACATAAGCAGAAAGAGGAAAGACAACAAGCCAGGCGGCGAACGAAAGTCACACAGATCGGCCGACATGCTCATTACTTTTGTAAGCTTTCTTTTCCCTCCTATCGAGTGTGTATCTCCATGGCCATGAACCAAATTTAACAAGTTACGTTTCCAGCAGTTTATAGACGACAGCAGCAGTAGCAGCAGCAACAACAACTGCCTGCCTTGCCACAAATCAATAGAGAAATAGCGAATCGCAGACGGCGCAAAAACCAAACAGATTTTTGTTGTCGTTGTTTGTATTCGGCAGTACATTTGGCAAGTCATCATGAAAATGGCTGAAAAGAATCGCTAATAGATTGGACATGAGACAACATTAACAACGTAATGCGCAAACACTAGCCCCCACGCCCCACGCCCCACGAACGGAATTGAGAGATTGATGAATGGAACCCCCAGCGAAGAAGTGTGAAACTATCTTGCTGCCCCCCAGCCTCACTGCCTCACTGGCTAACTGGCCAACTGCCTCACTGACTGACGCACCAACTGATTGATGAAGATATTTCACTTTAAGGTTTGTCCGAGACAAGTCCGAACAACATCGGGAAAGATACGGCACGAAACGAAACGAGAGGCGTGAATCTTTATGGGGCTCATAAAACCCGGAGAGGAATGTGTGTTTGTTTGCTGGTGGGAAAAATTATACGACCATCCAAAAACCAGGGCTCAGCCATGATTTCAGTTCCGATTGTGACAGTCTTGCGGTCAGATTGGGGGTCTTGTGCAGACTGGTTTTCTGAGTCGCCATTCCAGACTCGTTTCGGGGGGGAATACTCTTGAATATACATATCTATATATTAGATGTATCGATGTTTTATCGTGTTTTTGGAGAGTTCTTTGGCTTTGCTTCTTTTTTGGCATCATTTCCATTATCTCCATTTGCATAGTTCGTCGAATGAATATTCAAATCGGGCTTGAGATGCAAATTCCGATTGAATGCCTCCCCAAAGCGGGGGGCCAAACTCTTCCGAGTGGAGGCCTTTTTTACCATTTCAAAATCAAAGAAACGGTCACACAAAACCATACACACTCCGTCCGACTGTCAGTCGTCACTCGTCACTCGTCGCTCCTTGTCCCTGTGGAAGGGGGATCTGTCATTCAATATAATACGAGTATGCTGTTGCCCGGGGCAACCCTCCTACGAGCGGAATGGCAGGCAAACAGCCGGGCAGGGCAGAGCACGGCGGTTTGGGGGCGCAGGGTCAGACAAAAGCCAATAAATACGCCGCTTCTTTTATTTGTTCTGCGACATGCGAGTAGATGACAAATATCATGCAAATATTGTATACACCACGGCCGTGGGGGCGACTCGAGAGCGGGACGCCGAGAAATCGCTTCGTTTTGTGTGTGTATTTTAGTAGAAAATTTGTGTTTGATGTTGTCGTCGCCGGTCTGTCTGCACGCAAGGGCAGGCGTCCCCAGAGAAGGCCAGGAGCCAATAGCCCATGAGCCAGTAGCCAGGAGCCAGTAGCCAGGAGCCTGTTCATGTTGCTCATGTGTGTACATTGAATTTTTTCCGTATTTTCTCTCATTTTCCGCACTCGTTCTCCGTTCTCTCCACAGACCCTCGATGCCCTCGCTGCGCCACTACAAGGGCGACCTGCGACGCGATTTCTTTGGCGATGTGGCCGGCCTAATTGGCGTGTAAGTAACGTGCTTATATAACGGACATTGCCGCATATACCATACATGAATAACCTAACCCCACTCTTGCCCACCGCAGGCACGGACCCAAGTGGGAGGCCTTCAGACAGGAGGTGCAGCACATCCTGCTGCAGCCGCAAACGGCCAAGAAGTACATTCCGCCGCTGAACGACATCGCCAGCGAATTTATGGGCCGGTAAGTCGGAACGCCATCTTTCAGCCCTTATGCAATCTACATTTCTGTTCTGTTCCGCTCCGTTCTGTTGTTGTCTCTGGTGCAGCATTGAGGCGATGCGCGACGAGACGGACGAGTTGCCAGCCAATTTCCTGCACGAGCTCTACAAATGGGCCCTGGAATGTGAGTTCTCGCAACAGCATGTATCTTTTCCGATCCGGTACGAGTGTCTCTGTCTGTCTTGCAGCTGTGGGACGCGTCTCGCTGGACACGCGCCTGGGCTGCCTCTCGCCGGAGGGCAGCGAGGAGGCCCAACAGATCATCGACGCCATCAACACGTTCTTCTGGGCGGTGCCGGAGCTGGAGCTGCGTATGCCGCTGTGGCGCATCTACCCCACGAAGGCCTACCGCAGCTTTGTCCGGGCTCTGGATCAGTTCACAGCGTGAGTAGCGCCCGCCGATCCTCCGCCACTCATACTCATATGTCATATATATTCTGCAATAGAATCTGCATGAAGAACATCGGCCAGACAATGGACAAGGCCGAGGCAGATGAGGCCAGGGCCCTGCCCAAGTCCGAGGCGGACATTTCGATTGTGGAGAGGATTGTGCGGAAGACGGGCAACCGCAAGCTGGCCGCCATCCTGGCCCTGGATCTGTTCCTGGTGGGCGTCGACACGACATCGGTGGCCGCCTCCTCGACCATCTACCAGCTGGCCAAGAACCCCGACAAGCAGAGGCGCCTCTTCGAGGAGCTGCAGAGGGTGTTCCCCCATCGCGAGGCCGAGATCAACCAGAACGTTCTCGAGCAGATGCCCTATCTACGGGCCTGCGTGAAGGAGACGCTGCGGTAAGGCTGCACTGATTGCTGATTGTGATTCTGGTCGCTAATCGCCCCTGTTCACCCCTGTCCCTGTTCCGTAGCATGCGTCCCGTGGTGATTGCGAATGGTCGCAGCCTGCAGTCGGACGCGGTCATCAACGGCTATCACGTGCCCAAGGGCGTAAGTCCTCACTGTCTGTCGCCATGGCTCCCTATTATTTCACAGACCCTTCCACCTTTCAGACGCACGTCATCTTCCCACATCTGGTGGTGTCCAACGATCCCGCATATTTCCCAGAGCCCAAGCGCTTCCTGCCCGAGCGTTGGCTCAAACAAGCAGCTGCCGCGGCAGGTGAGTTCTCCCCTTCCCCACCCACCGAATGCTCCACAGTTCCGACTGCTAATCCGGATAATGCCTCTGTCTCTGCCTCCCACTTTTTCTGCAGTTGGATGCCCCCACGCCAGCCACAAGATTCATCCGTTTGTCAGCCTGCCCTTCGGCTTTGGTCGCCGCATGTGCGTGGGCCGTCGCTTCGCTGAAATTGAATTGCACACGCTGCTGGCGAAGGTACAGTCCCAGTCGCATTCCCAGAACTGGGAAAATGCCGCCCCCTCTTTAATGCCACTCTCATGGGTACCGTTTCACTTTCGCCACAGATCTTCCGCAAATACAAGGTCTCGTACAGTTCCGGGGAGTTTGTGTATCGCGTCAATTCCACGTACATACCGCAGTCGCCGCTGAATTTCAAGCTAACTCTGCGGGAGGACTAAGCGTCGGACACGGCACGGATGTCCCAGAGAAAAGCAAGAGCGGAGGAGCGAAGGAGAGAACGAGCGAGAGGGCGTGTGTGTCACACGGCGGATGTGTGATATTTATAGTCGAAGCGCTGCAGCCGCTGCTCCGACGTTTTGTTTAATTAAGCAAATGTACATAGACCAAGCACTCCCAACCCTTGAGCACACCGACATAGCCGCATAAATCGTGTAAATATAAGTATAAGTAGAATTACGAGTACGTACAATATAACCCCACTTTAACCCGGTCTAATATTAAAACAGCACCATGTATTTTCGATGGTCGGTGGTCATTAATCACCGAGGGACTTGGGCCTGAGGGGCGTAGACTGTGAAAGTTATTTGGCTTGTTTGCGCCTCGAGCGCCTTGTCTATTTAAGCGCGTCCGTCTTTTCCCATCAACTTATTCAAGCCTCTGATTAATTATGTGCTGCCACAGAACGATCACAAAGTTAACACACGGCCAAGGTCACGATAGAAATTGTGAAAATTTGAAAGAATTTGCCATGGCCAAGTCAAGTGATTGCAGCCACATTATCTTCAGAGTGTCCTTGCGGCCCTTGAGGCTGGACTCGACTCGACAAGCACAAGCGAATGCTGCCGAAGAGAACGCCCGAGAGTTGAAACAAACTACATGCATGGTGTGCATGATTTTTTGAGCCTGATTGCAGCTCGACCCGAGTTTGTATGATAACAACGGATTGACGGATTGCACAATTTGCTTAAGAGGAGGTCCGGTGCTTCAGTGGTCCAGGATGTGCCTTGAGGATTCTGCCTCCTACCCAGAATGGGCATTATATGTATTATATGCGGCCCACAGCATTTAGGACAAAGCCAGGCAGAACTATCAAATTTTTGGCCTTGGGCAAAGGGCCAAGGGAATAAAAGAGTATCCCATTACATGAAGATTGGAAACTGTGCAAAAATCACGTAATTATGGTTCATATAACAGCATCATCAATAGGAAAGATCGACCCGAAATTAGGTCACTATTAGGTGGGTACTCACTATTTAGCGGAATCATTCAGTTGGTATTCGTTGCTGCGCGAGAAGCACTCCTGGACACCGGTATCCTGCCAGAGACGCTTCATGGCGGCCAGCAGCTCCTCCGAGAAGGGTTCGGTGTCGTGCATGCGCTGGCACACGTCGAACACCATTTTAGCATCGCTCTGTGAGGGAAAGGAGAAAGCAGAACAGGACGATAAGAAGTGTGAGTCTCTCGACTCGGGGAAATGGAGGATTCAGTGGGTGCATGGAGGATGGTGTGTGGTCTTACCTCCCGCTCATTATTGCTGTACTGAATACTTAGGTTTGGCATCGCTCGCAGTATGGCAACTAATGATTGTATTGTGTTGCTGTAGACAACCGGTCGATATTGTTTAAAGTCCTCCGCAGTGAAGCCGCTCTCGTGAATGATTTTCATCTGTTTGACTATTGTGCTCTTTCCCGACTCGCCGGCGCCTAGAATCGAGGGATGAGAAAGAGAGAATATGGTTAGTCTACAGATACACACAGATACATATATCTATCTAGCTATCCAGCTATCTAGCTATCAGGAGCGTGCACTGACACGGCTCTCAAAGGGGTCGCTAATGTTCATGTAGGGGGCAGTCCTCTAGTAGTTGTCGAGCACTAAATGTCTGTGCTTTGTATTCCTCAAGTAGGGCTTAATGGCCTTTGAACACACACAGACACACACACACACACTCTAGTGGCATGATGGGAATCATTATTATCATTATCATTCCTCATCATCAATGTATCATCTCGAGCTGCCGCCGGGCAAAACAGAAATGAGAAAAGCAACGAAAGAACTGGAGAGGGCCACGGCCACGGCATCCTACCATACAAATTCACATAAAAGGCAAACAAAGGATTAATTGTTGCCGCCCCTGGTCAGTCTCAGTCTCAGCCTCTCTTCTTGTTCGGTTTCTGTGTCTGTTTCTGTTTCTGTTTCTGCTCGATGACCCACGATGACTGAAGGATTTTCCAGCTGTTTACCAACAGAAATTTCCATCTAATTGAATGCAATTTGTTAATTGAGTGACTTCTGAGTGGGTTTTGCACTCAGAAAATCTGTGTTTTGAATGTTTTCAATATGGAAGAACAGAACTATCCCAGAGAGATAAAAAGCTGTCTCAGATAAGAAAAGATAAGCAATAAGCAATAAGCAATAATAAGATAAATGATTGAGTGCCCGATAAAAGCGGAATACAGAAATTATATTTCCAAATACAACTCTCTGGAGCGTATTATCCGCACTCTCAAGGCGAGAAACATTCTAGACGTATTCTTCTATTCTTTAGATCCACATGAGTACAATACAAAACACTTCTAAGGGTTCAATGGCCAGCCCTCAAAAGTAATCCGAAGACCAATCAGAAAGAAAGAATAGATCAGAGAAAGGAGAATAGGACTCCAGTGCTAATAGAGGAGTTTTCTCATCTAAAAATGTTTAGATTTGAAGTGAAATTTACTTGAGTTGTTTATGGCGTTGATCGGATTGGAGGAAGCAACGGAACACAGGAAGAGGGGTGCTGGTAGGGGGATGGGGCAGGCACCACCTTAGATTAATGTTTTGTTTGTGTGGAAATTGAAGGCAAAGTGCTTAAATTTAATGCTTTCGTGGATTGCAGGCATATACAAGATCCATGTAGAGAGAATAGACAGAGAGAGAGAGGGAATATATCGAACAGGGACGGATAGAGTGTACGTACGTGTTGGCTCTGATTATTATTATGAATTTCCCGATGCGCGCAGGAAAAACTTTTTTAAATAAACATTTCCAGTACCCGCGACCCGCAGTGGGTGTTGCTTGAGTAGCAGAAGCCGAAAATTAACATATTCCATACAGAAAGAAACACACGCAAAACTGTCAGAAATTGAAATCTTTTCCCCCGACCCCTACCCCCCATTCCGAGCACCAGGGGCCGAAGAGGAAATTAAATGAAATACACAAAAATTGTACGAGTAAACACCCAGAATGCAGGGGGGTGGCCAGGGCTGTGCCCAATATGCAGGCGAAGATATCTACATGTGAATATTACTCATGATCCATGAGTAAGCGCAGTCGTTTCCAAATTAATGCAATTTCCCTACACTGGCGATGAATATCGGTCCAAATTTGGCCAAATTGCGGCTCCAAACCTTTTGAACATTTGCTTCCCCCCGGGATTAGCAATTTGGATGTGGTGGAAATACTTCAATTGCTAATTTCTCCCAGCGGTGCTGTTCCCCCGCTTACCCACGAATCGGAATACAGGGCAAAACCCAGCCCCAGACCCCATATCGCATACCCACGCTGCACAATGGCCTTGAACTAAGCTGACCGTTCGATACATACATACATATGTACATATATGTTTGCACAAGTACAATTATGTTATTGCGATTATTCAATTTATGGCATTTACATTTGCCGCAAGGCGAGCCAGGTCGAGGGAGGGAGCCAGAAGGAAAGGCATCTGCATCTTCGAAGCGACATTAAAGGAATTGGCAGGCCATCGAGGAGAAAGACTGCAATCTAATGAAAGAGTACTCATAATACAATTACCAGTGCGACGGTATATGATTTATATATACGACCATGAATCAGCAGGGGCAAATAGGAAACGGAGCTGTCCCTTCTTTGACTTATAGAGACACACAATCTATTCTCGACACTCCACATCCACAGCGTCGATGTCCACAAAATCGATGAGTTCGAAAGATAAGTGTATGACCTTTCATATATCTCATCATATGTTTGTCCATACAATTGCTATATCTGACGGTATATCTAGCCAAAGTTCAAGTCTTCTACTACTTTTTACGCTGCTAAGGTTATTTTCTAAAACTATTTCTTAGTGGCCTTAATTCCCTACAAAAACCATACCCATTTTAAGAGCATAGGCCAGGCTTGTTTCGAAAAGTAATTTTTTGAATTCTTTGATTAGTTTTGAAAGAAATCCGTGGAGTATTAACAATTATCGTCTTCGGTGGATTTAAGGATTACTACGCATTATTCTATATAAAGAGTGGTTTGTTTTTCCGGAAACCGCTTCCAATTCAATCCATTTCTAATGCCATGACGTTGGCAGCCACTAAGTATGCTTTACTAATTATAGCCAGCGTCCGAATCAAATATTCATTGCATTGTCCGACTGGGAGTCTTTTTCCAGGGGGCCGTCGCAGGCCCTCGCCACGAAGCAGCCACTCACCCAAGAGCAGCAGTTTAATGTCCTTTGCCGCCTGTATGCCGTCCTCCTTGAGGTTGCGCTCGATGAGGCGACTCCTGGCGGCTGCGGCTCGCTCCTCGGCAGACTGTGCGCAGCCCATGGTGCGTATTGCCTCGACGCAAAACGTTTTGAAGGTCGTTTGGTATCGGCCAACTCAATGGCCGACTACGTTGCCAGCGAAGAAAAACAATGTAGGGGGTCGCGAGGAAACCAACAACGGAAAACAACTAAACTCGTATCCACAGGGATAAAATTTGCGGTTTGTTGTTTTGCTTTTGTGCCTTTTGTTCAAGGATTTCTGTTCACTTTTTCAATGTTATTCTTGTATTTCGTCACTGTTTCGATTCGGTTTTCACTGTGGAAGGAAACGGGAGTGACATAAGCCAACAGTTCAGTTTTGTTTGATTTTTGCGCATTTGTTGATCCACGGAGGCTGCAGGAGGCAGAAGGCAGAAGCCAGAAGGCAGGAGGCAGGAGGCACGACTATCCGCTGTCCGCTACCCGAACGGGTCACAGCCAACGATAAACTCTAATTGTAAACTAAAAATCCGTGTGTCCGAGCGGGGGAAAATTGCCACAAGAACAAAACGGAACGAAACGGAACGGAACTCTCTACTCGCTTGCATTTGGGGGAAATTTGTTTTTCCTAGAAAAGTTCCACTCAGCGAGTGAGAGTGGGAGAGAGTCAGAGAGCGTGCGATGGAAGCGCGAGTGTGAAAGCTTTCTCCAAGTGCTTTCTGTGCCCAGGGGAACAGTACAATTAAGGCATAAGCCCAAGATTTGAGTTTTTGATTAGCGAAAACTCATGTTGCGCTGCAGATATGTCAGTACACGCGAGTCCATATGTAGGGACCGTGTGGCGCAGTAAACAACCAGAAATCAATAAATTATTGCACGTTGGAGTTTTCCCCCATTTTTTGCGGGAATTTCGGCAGTTGGTGTTCTCGATGTACTCGACGCTGTATGCGTTTGATATTTGCACAATTATGTGACCATGCGGGAAGTACGTATTATTGAGAGCTCCATTGTTTTCAACTGCCGCTCTGCCCTGCTCTGCCACCCTTGCTGGGGCGGGCTGTCTTACAAGTGGCCATAAACAAGCCCACACACACACACACAGAGGACAGAGTACGGAACACAGGGAGAGATCGCGAGGGGATGGGCCTGGAAAATGGGCACATGCTGACGCAAAGCAGCGAAAGGAGATGAGAGGAGAGGAGAAGCGAGGCGAGGCGAGGCGAGGCAATTGTTTGGTTGTTTCGGCCGAAATGTGAAAAGCACAAGCCAGAAACTTTTCTTTGTTTGTACATTTCGTGTTCCAGCACGCAGCAAAATGATTCATGATTCATTCGGGGCAGGAAAATAAAAGCGAAAATTCTGCTGCCACCCGCACGGTTCTACTCATTCGAATCGTTCAACAAATTTAAGCGCCAAACTGAACTGAGGCTGGTATTTTTGGGTACACGAATATCTTTTAAAATTAATTTTCCACCAATTGCCACAAAAATAGGGCCTTTTAGTTAGTACGGACACATCACAGAACTAGAGTTGAACGATTATTTGCATTGGGCAAAGCTTTCTGCCGTTTCGTTTCGTTTCGCGGGTATGCGTGCGTGGTATCCGCTCTGGAGCTGGAGCTGGAGCTGGATGGATGAACTAACGGAACTGGACTGCGCCTGGGTGGACGAGAGTGGCAACGGAGCCGCCCTAGCGCTGTCAGCAGCGTACGCAATGGGCAGAAGCTTTCCGTGCGAGTACACACACATTCCTCAATGGCCGAGGAAAGCTCTCCGCCACGAAGGAGAGAGAGAGGCAGAGCGCGAGAGAGAGCCGGTGCATGCGCAGCTTGTGCACATGGATGATGGAAGATGGAAGACTGGAAGGGAAAGTACAAAAGTCAGAGAGAGACAACTGGCCCACGGAGTTTGCGCTCTTCCAGGGTATGGGCCAGCGAGCAGCGAGTAAGAGCAAGACAAGGACAACCACCGCAGCGAGAGCGCCCACGCGAACATGCTATTTCTCCTTTTTTCCGTTTTAAAGGCAACTTTAAGTGGCTTTGCAGTTTGAATGGAGACAGGCCCCGCGCCCCAGCCCCCAGCCCCCAGCCCCCGGACAGGCCATCGCACACAATTAAGTCAGCGGCTTTGTAGAAACTCTGCCACGTTTATGGGCCAAAAGCAAAGCGCATTAGCACAAAACGGTTGGCCAGGACCACTCAAAAGATCTGCTCCTGCTCCTGCTCCTGCTCCAGCAGCCGGAAAACAAGAATCGAGAATCGAATGATAAAAGGGGGGAGCATATCCATATAACAATGCCATTGATTCGCCCGATAGCCCGACGGCATTCTGTCATTGAAGCACTGATTGGAAATGCCCGGACCCGATGTCGAGCAGCCTTTGGCCCCACTGGCCGAGACTGCGACAGGCAGGAGCGCTTCATTATGTGTAAATCAATTAATGGTTCAATAAAGAAAGCCATTCACGGCCATCAACCGAGTGAGAGCGAGTGAGGGAGAGAAGTCAGCAATTATTTCGAATTAATTGTGCAACAAAGACATGCAGCACAGCCATAAATCCATTCGAGTGCTAATGGAATTCGCGCTCGACTCTAGATGGGATGCTTACCATTATGCGATATGGATGCAACGATTATCCTTGATTCAGTTCAATTTCCCCTGCCAGGAATGCCCCTGCTTTGAACTCAGCTCAAACAATTGGTCATAGAACTTCTTGGAATTGCAAACTTCCCTTCTTTCAAAGTTTTCTATGCAAAATTGCCATCCAATTACAATCCGATATCCTGGATTCTCTACTTTTCCGAGAATTTCTCACCGTCCGCACCGGCAATGCGATAATTGCCCGATGTCCCTGGGTCCTGGGTCCCGGGGCGTGGGGCGTAGGGCCTGAGGACAGGTAAACGGGTAATTGGCATTCATATTGGAAAATGGCGTGACAGAAACAAAAGGCCAAGAGGGAGAATGGCTAATGAGGGGCAGCAGTTGGAAGTGTTCCGTTTTCGAAGGGTTTCCAACACAACACAACCCTGCCCTCCCACAACCCCGCAACGAGCTTAATTGAATTATCATTTTGCGAACACGAATATGGACCAAATCGGTGTGGGACAGCGACATCAACGGACTGACGGGATGCAGCACACAAAAAATTGAAAACAATGAATGGGAAAATGAAATTATTGAATGAATTTGGCTCCAGCAGACAGCAACGACACGGCACCAGAGGCAGAAGCCGAAGCAAAAACAGAATCAGCCCCAGAACCCCAACGGGAATGGCGGATGGCGCAGAGGGTGGGTGGGTGAGTGGCAGGAACCACAAACCGCAGCCAACGGCAAACAAATTGACAAGTTTTTTTTTATCACGCGAACTCTTCTCTGAATGACAGCGCGGACACATCGGACGGACAGCGGCAAAGTGGAGCACTTGTGCACTTGTCGCATGAACCAGCGCTCTGATGGAACAATCTGTACGTCCGTCCGTCCCTCGACCCCCCTCTCGTAGTCGGGGCTGCCATTGCCGTGCCGTTACGGGTCCCAGGTCGCGGGGCCTTTTGCCACTCGCGCCGACATTTGACTCTGCTCAATTAAGTTCGATTTGTGTTGTAGTTGGCATCTTGTGTAGTTTATTTAATGGCCGCCTTACGGGTATTTGCATCGGAGCAATCGATCCGATCTCAGCAGCCGGATGAAAGTGGCGCACGTGGAAGAAGACCGACCCAAACTCAATTACTTTGCTGCTCTGATTTGCTGAGGGACCATTGAGTTATGATGCCATGCATTTTGTGAGAGTATCAGAATTAACAATTGACATTCCACTAGAATGTTACATCCAATAATTGTCTAAAACTCAAACACATTTTGATCGTTCTAGAACATTGCGCCTGTTTAGTGTTGGAATTCATCGTAAGAGATCACAAACGCGTGTATCCGTTCGCTTATGAGAAATCTCTACAGCGAGTGTTCACCCCAGTCGATATCTAAGCGTCTCGTCGTATCCGAATAGTCCTAGTCGTTGCTAAAACTTGAATTCTACATCAAAAACATTCAAACTTGTTCCTTTTATGATCGTTCAACCATGTTTTGCTTGCCATTCTCTTACTCCTCTCTATAACCATCTAGTAAAGTAACTATCTGGTGTTTATCTAGCACAGCTTTGCGTGTATTATTGCAGTTCAACAGTGTTCTCGTGTGTACCGTTGTTGCCACACCTCAGTCGCCCACAAGAAGCAACAAATGAAAGAACAAACAAAACAAACCAACAACGAACGCTGCTTCCTCAATAACCTTTGGCTTGAAATTATGCTTCGAGTGGGATTTCTTTTAAACTTCCGCCTCGTTGTAACGGGACTTCGGGGCACACCCCACAACAGAGCGAACGCCCAAGTCCTGTACATACATGTCGCTCCTTCCGTCCGGTGCCTTTCTGGCCATTGTTTCGTTAGTGTTTCCTGGCCGCCATTCGATGCTTCCGCCTGCCACTCAGCCCACTCCCCAAGCGCCACTCGTCCTGGCTGTGGTGCAACATGAGCTGCAATCGCTGTACTACGTGCTGTTCCTCCCCGTTCTCGTTGCTGTTGTTTGGATGCTCCAAAGTTTTGCCTGATTGCACAGAACAGAAGGTAGTGGGGAGAAGTAGGGCTCATACACTGACGAAAAAGCTCTTAATGTGAACAATATAACGAAACAATATAAAACGCTTAAGTTTAGGTTTTCCAACTAGTTTCTGAAACTTGTCTCTCATTTGTGTTTCTTTCGGTGCACACGGATAGAGAGGCACACAGAAAAAGTCGACACAAATCGATGTTGCAGCTTTCGACTCTCTTTCTGTCTTCCTATCTTCGTATCTTCGTGTCTTGTTTCTTTTTGGGCGACTGGCAGATTAAGTGGCATTAACTGGCATTTCAATGTCAGGGGCCCAACCTGGTTAACCGACAGCCACACACCCACACAGACTAACACACACACGTGCAGTGGTTTCAATGTCAAGTGGCGTCGATTGTTTCCACTCGCTGGCGGATGCATACGTACGCGTCTAAGGCTAAGGCTGCGGATGCGGATGCGGCTGCGGCTGTGGCTAGTGCCGATGCCGATGCAGATGCAGGCGCACTTGAGGCAAGGGCACAGCCAGCACCGCCACATACCACATGGCTCCTCGAAAGTGTTTAGTCTTCACACTTGTCTAGCCCTCCCCCAACCCCCTCGAATGCAGATGCAACTGTTGCTGCTGCTGCCTGCACAGTGGTTCCGTGACATCCCTTCAACGCGTGAAAGTAATTCGACATGCAAGCAGAAGAGCTGCCCCAAATGGGTACTCTTTTGTTGTGGTTTCGGTTTAGCCTTGGCCAAAAAACACGTCAAGAATAGTTTTGTCATGGAATTGAGGAGGAATTAGCCTTGGGATGGGGCGTTTCTGTGGGACAACTGGGTACAATTGTATACCTAAAGATACATTCATATGCATGTATGTATATTGTGCAGGTAGAGCTACAGGATACTGTTTCTCTTCATTACTACCTTTTCCCCTTCCCGTCCACAAAAGTGTACTTCCTACCCACTGTGCTCAGTGAAAGTGCACGATAAATATTTACCCCATCTATCAGCACATAAAACCGAAAATACAATTTTCTAGCCAACTCAAGGGCCTCGAAATCTAAATTGATAATGTGGCCATTTCCATTAGATTACAGCAATGGAAAAGGTAAATGGTAAATGGTGAATGGGGGAAATGGAATTTCCACTTCCGCTGGCACTTACCAAGCAGCAGCAGCTTGATGTCCTTGGCCGCCTGAATGCCATCCTCCTTCAGGTTCTTCTCGATCTGTTTGGACCGCTGTATGGCAGCGCGCTCTTCGGCGGAGGTAGTGCAGCCCATTATGGTGGCTCTGATGGTGGTTTCTGATGATCTGCTGATGTTTGCGGTGTTGCTCCTGCTCTGCTTCTCGTCGGATTATTTGGGGTGATGGAGGCTAGGCGAGTAGGCAACTTCCCGGTTCACGCTTCCTCTTAGGAGAACATTTATTTATGTGTATGTACAATTTTACAGTTCAGCTGAAACGGAATTCAGAATTGTTTGCAATGGGGAATCATCATCATTATCCACATCATCATCATCGTCGTCGTCGTCGTCGTTGCCCCATAAACAATCTCTAACGAACGGACAGGTCAGAGGCACGAAACGGAATGACTCACACGCATGGACACAGGGTAGCAGACAAGGACGACACGACACGACAGTATGGATGGATGATGTGAACCACTCTTTAGGGCCGCCACTGTCTGTACGTCCAATAGGGCGCACACTGCTTACAGTGGTGTTGCTTTTGTTGTTATCAGCTCTCGTTCACCGAGCGCGGAGGCAAAAACAATGATAGCTGGCCAATTTGCATATGGTCGGAATATACGAAATGCATACATATGTATGTACATATATAGAAAAATTCATCACTCGCGGCTATCTTATCAATGGGAGGGCTATCGGCAGTTTGGGAGATATCATCGATGGTGCCAGACGAGATACGATACGGAGATACAGAGCGCGGGGCTTGGTAATTTATCATGTAAATGAATTAAGCACTGGAATGGAGCTCTGGAGAGAGTCCTGCTCCCTATTTTGAGTTCTTGTTCTTTTTCTTCTTTTTTTTTGGGTGTTCTGTGTGTATGTGTTAGGCGAGGGCGTAGGCGCAATGTGGCAGCGGGTGCCGGCTCTACAGGCAACGGGCTGGGGAGGGGGAGGGGAGCGCGATGATTCGATGCTGCGGGGTGTGAAAAAGCAGCGCTTTTCGCCATCAATTCAATTATGCAGAAAATACTGTAGTTTTATGCGTTTTTTATGCAAACTCGACATGGGCTTGCGTGGGTGCGCCGCCTGCCCAGGCACGGAGGTGGTGGGGTGATTCTTTTGCTGCTTCTGCTGGGTGGTGTTTCATATAAATTTTCATTTAGCTCACGCTCACGCACACACTACGCACTCTCACGGGCTGCACAGGCTACAGGCTACACAGGCTGAGCCGAGCCCACACCCCACCACCCCCCCCCGTGGGAGGTAAAGCATTTTCCACCGCCTAGTTCCAGCGCCGTATACACACAACACTTGCACACGAGCAGAAGAGCAGAAGAGCACCCTTCTACCTCTCGCTCTCTTCTTCTTCGTTCATTACTTTTTCAACGCGAATTTGGGCGTTTAATGCACTCAAACTGATCGGGATAATTACCGTTGCACTGTGGAGCACTGCACTTTATTTATTCTTCAATAATACACTAATAAATCAAACTTTTCCAGTGCGAAAATTTTCCTGCCTCTCGCTCCGCCCGCGTCGGTTAACATAACAATAACAGAGTTTTCCTCCTCTATTTAACAGTCATTGAACAGCTTTGTTAATGTTAAGTGGCATGGAAATAGTCATCGCTCTCATGTTAAACGGCGTTCATGGTAACATACAGTTCAACAGAGTTTTAAAACTTTACAACAGCTGTTTTGGGAAGCTTTGCAGCACTGGGTTCTGTCTGAACTTCCCAACACTGCCGTTATATCATTGTGTTTTATAAATAATAATGTTGCGGCAATTTCTGGTATGTTAGACTCCAAGTCAACCAGGAATGGTAGCTAATTTAGTTATCTTTAGTTCAGCACAGCATCGCGTCGGTTGGTGCGGCCCATGATTGCCCCACACCGCTCGGCCAGTAGCAGCCTCGACAAAACTGAGTTTACAACTCCGTCGCAGATAGTCGACTACGATGATCCCCCGCATTTGCCTGTGCCTGAGTATCCACTCCGACCCGACGAGCCCCTCGAGACTCGCAAGCAGCGGTAAATCGAATGAATATCTAGCCCAAGTAAAATACTACCTTTCTAGTCAATTCCAGGCTGCTGTATCAGAGTCGGAAGCGTGGCATGCTCGAGAATGATCTGCTCCTCAGCACGTTTGTGGCCAAGCATCTGAGGGACTTCTCCGCCGCCCAGACAGCCCAGTACGACGACCTCATTAACGGCGTGAGCAACGACTGGGACATATTCTATTGGGCCACCGAAACGAAGCCCACACCGCCCCAGTATGATACGGAGATAATGCGAATGCTAAAGCAGCATGTGAAGAACGAGGAGCGCGTGCAGCGCATAAGACAGCCCGACTTGTAGGAGCGTCGGGTATCTATGATGTCAACCCAGATATTTCAATCGCATTTCACACGGGAAAATCTTATGTATTCGGTTTTAGCACATTATAAATATATGTATTTGTTGGTTTAACTTAAGCCCTGAATTGTTCGCTAAGATATTGCTTGTAACAGTTGTTGGGAAACGCATCTTTACACATCCGTGGGTGCAATTTGAGTTACAGAAAAGGAGAGACTTTCTTTTGGGAGTTGCAATTTTCTGACTATTCGGTTCCACTCTTGATCGTTTAATCAGCCATAGCCCCAGCCCTAGTTCCTCATCAAATAAAACACGGTTTCGATTTCCTGAAATACACATCCATACAATATATTTAAACGATTATCCAGTTAATTGAATTCATGCTTGCCTTTCGTGTGTATGTCCGACATGGTATATATACATACATACATACATACATATGTATATATGCATAGTATAAGTATATATATTTAGAGTAAATGTAATTTGCTTAACCACTATAGCGAAATGTTACACTTAAAACTTTGCTGATGCCTTGCCTTAGTCTTGCCGCAGAGCAGATGCGTGAGTGAAACTGATGGAACGTTCCGTGTTGCACTGGACAGATCAACGGAAACGTGATCGGGTGGCAGATAGTGTGAGACAGAGAGAGTGAGTGAGGAGAGTAAGAGTCTACGAACGTTTACAGCATTGAACTATTGACGGGTTTCTCTATTAACATGCTACATAGATGGTTGAACTGTTTTTACTTAAATAGTCGTATCTTTCTAGATTAAATGAGGTTTGGGGATTGAGTGTTGTTGTTAGCTTGTTGTGAGTATGGTTATGGGTTATGAGATTGGGTTTGGGTATGTGTATGTGTGGGGCAGGTTGGGGCGCAAGGGCAAAACAAACAAAAGACGTTGCGCTTGAAAGGTATTCAGGGGTGTCGTGACGCAGCACAGTTCGCAGTTTAATTATACATCATAATATTACACACTTTAGGATTACAGGGGCTATATAAAATATACGTTAAAAGTTATTAAAAATCACGCTAAATCAAAAGGCCGCAAATAGTCGCCGATGTCGCGCATCTTTAGCAAATGAATCAGTTAAAAAGAAGGAAATTTAATAGGCGTTCGCTCGCATGTCGGCGCTCTGGTAAAAAAGAAGAGAACTGAAGTAACAACAAAATTTAACCTACTACGAAAATTGTAAATAATCTAGTCGAGCGTCTCGAAGTAGTCCTGTGGATCCATATACATCGAAGGACTGCTTCCGCCACTCATGGATGCGGCTGCTGATGCCGCCGCAGACGCTGCTGCCGCTGCCGCCGCCGCTGCTGCTGATGTTGAGGATGAGCTGACCCCGCGATAACGACCACGACGCATTGCACCCGGGCCCCCCCCACCCGTACTACGCATGCTGCTGCTGCTGCTGCCCGTCATGACAGGATCGTAGGTGCGGGATGAGGACGCTTCGGTGCTGCCGGAGAGCGAGGACTTGCGTCGCCTCTTGTTGCGACGACGCCGACGACGCTTGGTCGTCTGGACAGCCACCGCCGCGGTCGATGTGGAGGGTACTACGCTGCCCAGCGGTTCGGTCAGTACGCTGGTGCGCGGCAGGGTCAGCGTGGTCTCGAACATCTTCAGCAGCGTCGGCGAACTGGGTCAATTTTGCGGGAACACATCATCGATGGTAATGAAAGCATCTTCGCCCAGCGAGTGCTGACCGATCACCTTGATTAGCTCGGATGCATGAGCTACCAGGAACTCCAGCGGGGGACGTTTCTCAAAGTTAAGGGACTCTGCAAGCGAAAGCGACACAGCAGGGCGTAAGATTGCTGTGGGGAAACGACTGGTGCCAAAGGACTTACCCAATATGGCCGAATTGAGCGTGGTGGAGACGTTTTCACGTCGCGAGGGGCACAAGAGCCAGCCGAGCGGACTGGACCAGGGGTTTGAGTAGGCAATCAAGCTAAATGCATCCTGCGAAATAAAATCGAAATTGGTGTAGAGTGGAAGCGCGAAGGCTGCTTTTAATAATAGGGGCATTTACCTCCAACATTTGACGCTCCTCCTCGGTCATGAGGTTATCCTTTTCCAGCTGCTGGCCCATGCTGGACAGCTCCTTGCCGAACTCGAGTATCTTCTCGATGACACGACCACAGCTGCGAGATGACGGTGAAACGTCTACATCTGGGTGCGTTTGGGCAACCTTGATTAGCTTGATTCTCTTTCTGGTTTCTGATTTTTCTATTTCTATACCCATTTCCTCGTCGATGGCATCTAAAGAGTGGCGCACTCCACTGGCACTGGTGTCGGCATTGGCATTGCCATTGGAGCAGGAGTCGCCGCTGCCGTTAGAGTGGCTCTGGCACGGTTCCATCTCCACATCCATGCTGTTGGTGTCGTGCTCCGTGCACTTGTTGGAGTTGTCGTCCATGACCATGCTGCAAAAGGTGGTGAGAAAAGCTCTTCAATAAAAACTCCGCCAAACACTTTAGTTTACGAACTTTTTCAGATCTTGCTTTTCGCCGCCCTCTAGTTTTATCACAGCTGGAATCGCAGTGTTGTTCTGTTGTGTTGGCTGGTTGCTCTGGCTGTTGCTGTGGCTGTGGCTGCTGCTGTTGCTCCCCTTGCTGTGTTTGAACGCCTTGGTTGACTGTATCACAGAGGTCTGATTTGTAGGCATGGTCTGCGTGGTGGCTGTGACCTTATTGTTGCCCGGCTGTTGGGTACAAAGACAAAGGACAATGTGACGTTGATGCCTTTAACCTCTCAGGTCTTCGACTCACCTCGATGTCAGCTCCGTTGATCATTTCGATAAACTGACGACACTTCAGGGAGAACCACAAATTCTTGTTGGCCTCGAGCAGGCCGGGATACGAGCGCAGCGTGTGCTCAATGGCCTGGCTCATTTTGCCGGTCTGTATGAGCTTAATGATCTCTGGAAATATGGAAGATGGAAACAATTAGTTTCCCCCGGTGCTTCAAAGGAACTCCACTACTAACTTTGTCGCGTCTTGATGGAGGCCAAGTCCTCGTCGAATGGCTGATTCGTGTAGCCGTTGAAGGCCTCGGCCGTCTTGCTGTAGCCGTTGTGCACCAGATAGGTGGAGACCAGCCTGCCAATAAAGGTGCAATACGATTAATGCTTGAAACGTGAGTGTTCTGCTGCACCACCCACCGATTCATTAGGTTCTCCGGCGTTTCCAGCAGATGTGGGTATCTGTCGATCTTGCGCAGAACATTCGCGCGCATCTCCTTCATCATGTCGAGGATTCTGTCGAATTTGAACGGCTCCTGGCCAAAGTTGGCATCGACCTCCTCACCGGGCGTCTGCAGACCCACTGTCGGATAGAGTTTTGTCTGTGGAAATACGGTTGAATGGAGGTTAGTCTTGGCAGGAGCGGGTGGACGGGTCGTCGACTACCAACCGGCAAGTCCCTAAATGCGATGCCGAGGTCCACGCCGTTCTTTGTGTAGAAGCAAGTGTTGTTCACGAAGTTCACGCAGCAGCCGATCACGTCGCCGGTGGTGAAGGTCGGTCCGTAGGTCTGGCCGTTGCCCGAGGAGCTAAACGAATTGCCGTCGTCGCCATGGTAACCGTACGACTGTTTGTCCCAACCTACTTGGGTTAAGGGGGGTGCGTTCATTAGGAAGTACGAGGGATTGCCCCTAACTAACCCTGTGGACACATACCTGGCAAGCGGTTCATGCGGAACTGCTGGGCAGTCAGGCCGATGCCCATATAGCCGTTGCGGCCCTTCGAGATGATGCGCACCTCGAAGTAGTACAACCCACATGAGGATGGGATGGGGTAGGCGGTGCGCACGGAGGCGGCATCACTGTGCTGTTTGCCCACGCCTGCAACGGGAAAGGTTTCGTTCATAAAATCTACAATTTACAACATATTCATTTTCCATTTCTGTTTGACGCAGTGGCGCCACCTGTACAACTTTGCTCGTAACTCCCTCAGCTGTTCTGTTAATCAACATTCTGCGTTAACAGCACAACACTGGCTGTTGCACAGTCACGCGAATGAGCGTGGGAGAAGTGAATGCTGAAAAACAAAAGCCACAGCACAGCTGGTGCGGAAGAGCGGGACGACTGCAGGCACATCAAAGTGCATTGGGTGTCGTTTCACTCCTCTACTCCTTGGGTGCGACAAATTTTACATATTACAGGACGATGTCCTTTGACAGATTTCTCACGTGCGAGTGGGATCAGTGGGTCGGGTAGCACTCACCTTTGTAGGTAACGCGCAGATTGTTCTGCGACAGTCCTATCGACAGACATTTGTCATGAGGACTCCAGCAGCGCGGCAACGGAGTCTCGGTCTCGTTCACATTGGGATAGAGTAGACGAAGCGGATCCACGCCCTGCTGTGTAGGCGGGTGACGTCCTCTGCCGGAGCGGGGCGAGCTCTGATTCGAGTTCTTCTGGGGGCAGTTGCCGGGGAACATGTCGTTGGTGAAGCGGCTCCCGTTGTTGCTGTAAAAATGACGAGTGCGTCTCGCTGCGGCCGCGTTGTTGTTATTGTTGTCGTTCTCCTGATCGTCGAAGGCGTCGTCGGCGGGAGTACCGGGGGCAGAGGGCGGGGTACCCAACTGTTGGTTCAGGGAGGCACGGCTCGCACTCTGGCCAGCGGTGGTAGCGGCAGAAGAGTGGGTCGGCAGGACAGCCACCGAGCTCAGCCGCTGGCTGCCAGCGGATGTCGAGGGGGCCTGGTCGTCGATATCGCGGGGAGCGGAGACAGCGTCGTCGCCCTCGTCGAGGTCGTCGTCGTCGTCCTCGAAATCGTCGATGCGCTCCACGGCTTCGTTGGGAATGGCACCGGCGTCAATGGTATCCGCAATCGCGTTGGCGACTATGCCCACTGGCTGCTGCTGCTGCTGCTGTTGTGGACTTCGCTCTCGCTCTCTCTCCGAATCGGAGTCCCCGTCCTCCAGTAGTGGCTGCTGCTGCTCTGGCTCTATTTCTATTTCTGGATGCTGCTGCTGCTCGGGCTCGGGCTCGGGCTCTGGCTCCAGTAGTGGCTCTAATGCGGGTTGCGGTGCAGTCTGGTGAAAAGGAGGAGTAGGAGAGTGATGATCATGCGATGAATGGTCGTGACCTTCGTCATCATCTTCTTCTGTATCAATGTTGAATAAAATGGCTGCACTGAATGACTGGGGATGGGGGACGGACGAGGAGGAGGAAGGAGAGGAAGATTCACTCATGGGCTCATGGGAGCCTCCGACTGTGGTTGCCGTTGCTGCTGTTGTTTCTACCGCTGCTGCTACTGGTGCGGCTGCTGCGGCTGCTACTGCGTTCCTGCTGCTCCCACTGCTCGTGCTGCTGCTGTCCGAGGAAAAGTTTGGGTGGTCGTAATGGTCGTTGTCCATTGTCAACTCAACGAACTACTGATCGCGCGGTACTTGAGAGGTACTTGTGGCAGGGCACGGCACGGGAAAGAAGCACAGTTAGAAGAGAACGCTGCGAACACGAACGAAAAATCATTTTGAGTGCGGATGGCTTTTCTTTCTTTCTGTTTCTGCGTGTGCTGTGAGAGGATGCTGTGTGTATACGGTGGGGGGTAGGCATGGTGGGAGGAAGGGCTGACAGGCAGGCAGGCAGCATACATCAACCTCAAATTGCAGTGTCCTTTGTCCGTTACTCCGTCCGTCTCCCTCGCTCGCAGGTTCTCTTTCGTCATTGCACACTTTGGCTTTGGCCCGCTCGCTCTCTCGCTCGCTCCTCTCTCTTCTCTTCACTTTGCTTCACTGCTGCGACGCAGCTCTGACCCAAAATAACAGCAACAATTATTGCATCTCCAACCAAACAACAACAACATTTACAGGTTCGACGCGCAGCTGCAGCACCAATAACATGAACAACAACGACAAAAAGGAACAACAACTAGAGCAACAGCAACAACAACATCTACATGCACGAGAATTGCAGCCAAGGCAAAAAATCAATACAATAAAAATTAATTTACTTTTCCTGCTCTGCAGCAGCGTTAGATTAACAACATTTAAACGGAATAAAATGATTTTGCAATGCGTTTTTACGTCGTTCTTTTCGACGTTTTCTTTGTTTTCCCTCTAACCAACGAGTCACTGTCCACACAAATACACGTACAAATGGAGAAGAAAATTTTGCTGGGGCAATGAATTATTGTGAATTTGCTGATGGATTTGTCTGAATTGCATTCAATGCCATTGGCCCGAATGTTTCATTTAATGTTCACGAATAGTTAGTTACCTTTCTAGCAGTGGCTACGCACTTTTTAAATTATTTTTTAATTTTGATTTCAGCTTCGTGTGAATCAGTGTGACCGCAGATTTTATCGATAAAATATACCGAAATATACCGTCTCATATTCAAGATATTCCATAAACATGCCAATGGAAAAAACGAACTTAGCCCCGCTCTATTTAAACAGGTGAACAACTTGAGTTAAACCGGGCATATTTAGTGTTTGCAAGTGTGTTTGTGTGTCAATCCTGTACATCCTTTTTACTTGCAATAAAAATCACGATATTTTTTACGGTTTCGTAGAGTGTATTTTAATACGCACTGATCTACACGTTCTCTTCCCATGATCAGAAATAGTATATATATGGTATAAATACTATCGATTATGGATAGTCGATAGAGCTGCGCGCCAAAATGGATTTGTTTGAAATTTGTGCTACAAGGACTGGGCAGCAGATCTGCCAGATTCTCAGAGCCAATACAACACAGGACTGTCAATTGCCTTCAGGGCGGGTCCAGTTTGCAATTCACAGTCCAGTCCGAAGCTCATTCTCGCTCTGAGCGACGTGACCTTTGGGCCTTCATTCTTTCCCAATTTATATTATGTAGTTATCCATGTTTGCTTACAAGTTTTATACGAATATTATACGCTAAGTAATCAAAATGGTTCCCTTAAGGACCATACGAATGTTATTTGAATGACTATGTTATACTTTGTATGAGAAGACAAGGAAATCCGTTTACTGATCAAGATAAAAATCATATGGTTCTAAGACCATCGGGCTGTGCATAGCCGCGCTTCATAGTTTTTCGGGCAGATCGTAGCCAGCGTATTTAGGGGCACAAACTGTGTATTGTAGTCTACATAAAAGATATTGTAGTACCGGTCTGATTGCTCGATGATCTGGGCGCGCTAATAGTTCTTATTTCACAATGCTTCCTAGTTCTCGTAAGAGCGGAGTATCAAACACGGTCTCTGGCCGAGCGTCTGCCACCACCAAGTAATTGGTGGCGCCCTGAGGTGCAAAGTGCTCATGCAAGAAATGACAGTGTCTGCCTAAGGGGAAACATGAATTGTGTCAAGACTTTTCTTAGAGGTTTGATTGTTTTCTATGCACAGACTTACCCTTGAAGCAGCCGTTGAGTTCCGGATCGTAGAAATTGTTTAGATCAATTTGCAGACATCGGGCAGACCAATAGGCGCTCGATCCCTTTTAGCTACCTTCGACATTTTTATCGAGCAGGTGCTTCACAGTACAAATATCATGCAAATCCATTACTTTTCAATCGGTTTAAGCACAATTTAACTCAATTAAACCGTAGTTTAACCGGCAGTAGCTTTCGGGCGACATTTAGCGCCACATACTGTAAACTATCAGAAATATACCGAAAATACGGCTCAGTATCAAAATATACCGTAAATATACTGATGAATTATTTGTACAATCCATATATGTATTTCTTGATTTTGATATTCGGTTTATTATTACTAGCTAGATAGTACATTCCGCACTAAACTCATAATTTTATCCGTTAGATGAACAAATTGTCTATAGATTGGCTACCTTTAAGAAATCCGTTTTATACAAAAGCTTTAAACAAAAGATGTCAAAGCATAAAACTGAAGAGTCGAACCACAGTCGGACAGAGTACGATTAGCCCATGGTCGACCAGTGGTTATTAAAATACTCTCCACGAATATTAGGAAACTTTAAGAACTTTAGCGCAGCTCAGGCGAAATACATCTTGGTAACTTTTTTTTAAGGAAAGAAAAAGGAATTGGATTTTTTTTCGCAATTTAGCTCAAGGATTTCGCATGTTTAAATGTAGGGGGTTAAGTGTGTTAAGATCAGTTTTTTCATCGGTTTATCGACACAAGTCGGCATAATTTTAACTAAGTACGGAGTTTTTTAATATTTGAATTGAATTTAGTAAAAATGGCCGCACAATATACTCAATTGCAACAGTGGTTTGGCCAGTACAAGCAGACGATTACCAGATCGCTGCACGACACCAACAAACCCTGGGCCAAGGTGCTGGATATCGTGGAAGAGCGGACTAGCGTTGACCGCGTGAACATATTTTTCGGTGAGTAGAAGATCCTGGTGTGGACGACGTCATCGCCAGGAGGACATCCAAGCACTTAACGGTTTCGCCAGTCCAAAAGATGCAATAGAGTTCTCTCACAAAGAAATGTATAAATAGCAACCTGTTATATATAGCAAGATAGACGAGGGGCTGTGACATGGCATTTAGTCCGTGGCAGGCAGCGGGGCAGGGGAAGGTGCCTAATTTGGAGATTAATCACTATCGTCAGCTTGGCAACTGCCGCTGCACCGTTTAAGCGTAATTAAATGGTCTATCTCTGGGGTATAGTATCGCCAAGTTCGCACGCACACCAGGTAGAAGCTCTACATGAATATGTGTGGACATGTGTCAGCTTACGTATGCAGTGCTTGTGTGTGAGTGATAGCTTCCATGAAAAGTTTTTTGGTTTGTGCTTTTCTTTGTTTACTCTATGGAGAGTATGTTTTATCCGTCCGCTGAGCAATCGTAGATTACCGTGTGGAGCATTGTACCGATCGGATCTCCACATTGTCGTCAGCGCAAAAGGTCAGACTCGGCTTCGACTTCGCTCCGGACCAGCTCTCCTCTGCCTTCGTGGCGCTTTGCACACGTGTAAAAACGCTGGCTGGCAGGTGAGCGCGTGCCTCTGTGTGCGTGAAAGCCCCAGATGTGGCTCTGGGATTATATTATGCAAATAAAACACCGCCAATCGGTGCGACGAAATGTCCGGCTTCCCGTTATCTACATTGGCTCAGGTGAGTCCCTACCGTTCCTCCTGCTGGCACCCATCTCCGAACACCTTTGAACTGAACAATAAAACGCCCATAAATATAATTAGCGAAATACTCATCGGCGGTCGGGCATGACATCATTATGCGGTGGATAGAGCGATCCGCGGCAAGTCCGTTGTGCTATTCTGTGCTGGCAAGGCGAGACTGACCGGGATCGGGCCGCCGTCAGGCATCAGGTGCAGAATTCTGCAGATGACACTTGTGACAACAGCTGAATGGTTATAATTAGCCTCTCACAGCCTTGGGGCGGTACGGGGGACACCAATTAAGGCCCCAAATCAGGGAGGGCCGCAAGGCACCGTCCATCGGTAATGGACTGTAAGGATTCCTCAGAAATTTGGATTTAGCGGGGGAAAAATCTATGGATAAAATCTGGCTAGAAGCCGCCCCAACAGACCCGTGCTTACACAAACCGCCCCTGCGCGATGCTGTGCGACAGCCAAAGGGCCCTTTTGCCACAATGGGCACAACCCAGTGGCCATCGAGACGGAGATCATGGCAGTTGATAGCGTTGAGAGTAAAGTGATCGAACTTTTCAGAGAGAATGCCTTGCTACGCTATGGTACAGACCCTGGGCCCTTTCCTGTAACCCTCCTTCCACTTTCTAACTGGTGTTCTTTTCGACTTTTCCAGGTGCCGCCGGCTTCTGCGTCCTCTATCTGATCTTCGGCTATGGGGCACAGCTGTTGTGCAACATTATTGGCGTGTTGTACCCGGCCTACATCTCGATCCATGCGATTGAGTCTAGCACCAAGCAGGATGATACCAAGTGGCTAATCTACTGGGTCACCTTCGGCATTTTCACGGTGATCGAGTTCTTTTCGGGAGTCCTGACCCACATCATACCCTTCTACTGGCTGCTGAAGGTAACCCATCGCATGGGATTGTATTGAAGATTGAACTAATTTCTCGTCTGTTTCAGTGTGCTTTCCTCATCTGGTGCATGCTGCCCACGGAGCAGAACGGCTCCACCATTATCTACCACAAACTGGTGCGACCCTACTTCCTGAAGCATCACCAATGTAAGTACAATATCCACTTCTCCCTAAACAAACCTAATGTGTCTTTTCTTTCCATTGCAGCCGTCGACAAGCTGATTGACGATGGCATGAAGAAAGCAACCAATGTGCTGAAGCATGATTAGGAACAAGGTCTGCCGGCCGGCCACTTCTTCATGCATTTGGTACTCCCGCCTCCACGAAGGATTTTTTTAGACAGCACGCAATTAGGGTTTGGTCACGTCGAATTGGTTACGTTTTGCAATAAATTTTAAATCTATCCGTTTGTTGTTGAGGCATCCAGTTTTGTCTGTCGCTAACGTAGTTAACCAAGAAGAAATCTCGCTTGTTAAACATAAATCGAAAACAGGGTTTTATTATTGATCTAATAATGCTCATGCGGACGCAGAAGCGGATTCGGCCTGGCCCGCTGCTGCTGCCTCCGCCTGCTCTTCGGCCAGCTTCCTACGGTTCCGCCAGGCAGTCATGTAGGTGCGGGGATGGATGGGCAGCAGTCCGGCGACGCCCAGCAGCTCTGCAGCCGGGTCGGAGATGTGAGCTCCCTTGCCGAGCCAGAAGCGGATACGTTCCGTGTTGAGCGCCACCAGGCGCTCGTTGAAGTCGTTGGGCAGGGGATCGTAGGAGCCGACCTGCTCGATCACAGGCTGGTGCTGGTTCTTGCGACGCTGTGGGCACAATTGTTCTTGTTATTAGACGCCACTGTTACAACATCCCTGGGATAATATCCATACCTCCATGACGACAATGTGGTAGAAGGGCCGGTTAGTGCAGCCCAGACGCACGAAGCGGATGATCTTGGCCGAGTGCTTGTAGAAGCGGCCGATGCCACTAGCCGGCGACAGGGACATCCTCAATTATTTATGTTTAATTCAACTTTTTAACAAATGCAAGGTTATGCTATGCTGCAGCGATGTAATTGCGATGGCTGGGCGATAGTTGTGCGCGCAGCAATCGATAGTATCGACAGCCCCAGCAGTGGTGGGATTTTTCCTCACTTTTATGCTTCATCCTCTTTGGTTTAAACCTTTTTCTATAAACTATCCAATAAAAAGGATACCACAAAATTAGCCAATCCTGTAGAAAACAGATTCATCAATCGGATAAAATTATGTGTTCAGGGTTGAGAGTTCTATCTAGCTGGTAATATTCAACCGAATATCAAAATCGAGGAATACTATTTCCGATCATGGGAAGAGACCTCAGGCACAGGCGAATATATTTTACCGATAAGTCCGATAATACAACCCTGGCACCGTACGCAAGATGGCGACAGGCACGAACACTAAGGAATGCTCAGTGGTGTGTCTGTGTCTGTGAAAATAATATTGGAGGAAAAAAGTGTGCGTTATTTTGTTTATAAATTTAATTGCAAAAACTGCACATCAGCACACGGCGCGTCCACACACCAACCCAACACACACATAGAAGTGCGGTGCGCCTTATCAATGAACCGAGTCGCAGCCTGAGACCTAGCGCCCTGGACCGAAAGGCACGCCACCGAAGTGAATTTGTTCGCAAGAACGGAAAAAAATGGCGCCCGCAGCCACAGAAGCAAACCCAAACCCAAAAGCAAAAGCAACTTGACTTTCTTTTCGGTCTATAGTTCGTCGCCGTACTCGTCTCGTCTCGTCGTCGACGACGAATTTTCGTCGCAGTGCGATCCCAAGTGAAAAATAATTAAATTGTTGTGTGTTGTTCTGCACAATACCAACACCATTACCATTACCGTTTGCACTTACTACTACTAGAGGAGGCTAGTATTTTGTACGTGATTTAATACCACATATAATACCAGCAACAGAGAAGTGCAATTACATTTGCGTTTGGAAATTTTGCGCTTTTTTCTCTTTCGCCTCCCTCCCTCCACCATACCATCACTTCCCACTCTTCTCTATCTGCCTCACTTGCTCCATTTACAATGTGCGCCGCCCAGAACCCACAGCCGCCCTTCGGCTACACCTGGGGCTTCGCAGACAACGGCAGCCGCACCGCCGAATCGGTTCTGGAAATATCGCCCAACATAAACTACACCGTCAGTGGGGAATCGGTAAGTCGCTCTAGCTCCTAGCTCCTGTATCTATACGTAAATTAGTTGCTGCAGTAGTTGCTACTACCCCCGCCCCTGCCGATAATCGAGTGCTTTTGCTAGTGCAGGCTGCTAGCTAAATAGCCAATTCGACCAGTCGCAGCCACCCACCACCCCCTAGCCATGCCATCGCCCACGTAACAGTGTTGCTTTCCTACAGCGAATCGTGTTGGGCTCCCAACAACAAGAAAGCAAGCGCCACATATACTCGGGCATTACGTACAGCCATACATGCATACGTACATACTTGCAGGCAAGCGAGCGTGCATATATACACTACACTCGCTCACTCACACTCGCTGCTTTCGGCGACGGCGTGTATGTATACGGGAATACAAAAAGAAACGACAAGAGATATACATACGCACGTAGATACATATACTCGTACGCTTTATGTAACTGCGTTGTCATGCGAGGAAATCGGCGCTGTGTTAGAATTCTTTTACCATACATTTATACAAGTCGTATTCGTTTCCATTTCATTCGTAAACATTCATAATTTGGTATTTGTAAGCCGTGTGCGTATATATTTGTGTATGCAAAAAACCAGAGAAAGCACGCACCTGTACATGCTAGAAAGGGACGAAGAGAGAGTAGGGCTAGTGGGAAATGCAGCGTCGCTTAATAATGATTAAAATTCCCATTAATAATGGGTTTGGCGGGGTCGAACATTCGTGGCAGTCTGGCTGGCAAAAGCAATCGATTGAATCGATAATTTGTACTTCCTTGATTCTGATTATTATATATCGTTAACCCTCCCTACCCCCACCGCTTGAGTTATTTTTATATTATAATTATTCGAATGGTTTCTCTGTTGTTTTGTTTTGTTTGTTCGTTTTCTGGTTTCATTTGGTAAGCAACAATTTTCAGTTACACAATTGTCCATTGGGCCAGAAGTAAACCCTGGAGTGCAACCCTCCCTTCCCGCCCCACACCAATTCGCCGCAATTCGGCTTCGGCCGTTCCGTTTTCTTCTCTAGTGTGCGTCAGCATCGAATTCGCCGCTCGCTAAATGCACACGCAATTGTATGTATGCGTACATATAAATATGTGTGTGTATGTGCAGCGCAGCCAACACCAGTGCCAGAAATGACGTGTTCTGGTGTGCGTTTTGTTTCACGCGTGTGTTTTGATTACTTTTGCGTTCCAATTGTGCGAGAGAAAAAGAGAGGGATAGAGAGAGAGTGAAAAAAGGCGCGCATTTTGCCGACCTCTCTTTCAACCCACCTCCTCCCCTCCTCTACCTGCGTGCCTCGTACTCCTCTTTATCATCTGTTGCCGCACCGCTGCCTGCCTGCGCAGGTGTAGCGACGTGGTTATCAATCAGAGCCAGACGAATGAGCATCAAACAGCTATAACAGAAGAGAGCTATAACAGAGAAGAAGCCACAATTTGAAGCCCACTGTCCCACTACTGATTCTACTACTACTACTACTAACCATAGCGTGTGGCAACTGTACTAATCTCTAGCCTAACTCCACCGTCTTGACTAAAAAAAATGCCCCACCCCCCCCATTAGGCCCATTGGAAGAATTGCATTCCTGTACTTTGTTCGGTTCTTGGGGACGCAGATCCACAGTATCCAATAAAACACTAACAGACCAATATATAACTTGTGGGAGGCATGGAAAGAACGCACCGCGCCCATCCATCCATTATCAATCTACAATCAAGCAATCAAGCAATCTCAAGCCACAAAAACCCTTTCCAGATGCCCTATCTGCTGTCCACGGATGGATCATTGGCCGTACAAAAGGATGTCAAAGGTGCTCTAACCGGCAATAAGGGGAATGTTGTGCGTCGCATGTACGTTGTGAACGATCCTTCGTTTCCGCCCGGTACACAGAGGTGCGTTCAGAAGCTATCAACAGAATAATCATTCAAGCAGCCACCCAAAAGAGAAAGCAACCAACTAAGCATTCTTCTCCGTTTGCTCCCACTCTTCCTCTTCTCTATCTATTTCGTTCCATTTACAGAGTAATTACCACTGGGGGAGGCTCGTCGGTAGTCAAGAAACAGGATTCGCAGCAGCAGGTGCTGAGCCTGGACAAGAACTGTAAGTGGTCGTATCGATATATGCATCGGTGCAGCCGTCATCGATGCATCTATCCGTGTTGCACGCGTTGCTGTTGTGATTATCCATCTATTTGGGGTTTTTGTTAATCGATTGTTTTCTCTCTACTCCCGTTTTTTTTATTCTCGCTCGATCTCGCTCGCTCTTGAACCAACCCGTAACCGAACCCCCCGAACCTATCATCTCCCACCTAACCCCACCACTGTCTATGTTCGCTGCGCTGCGCTGTGCTTGTGTCTGTGTGTGTGCGTGTTACTTGTAATTGCTATTGCACCACCACCACCACCCCACATCACCCCACATCACCCCCTATCCGCACTACATCATCATCCATCACCTAACTGATTGCACACTACACTACACACACCTCATGGCACCACATTATACCTCATCTCTTGGTGGGCGGCGGGCGCGGTCTGAACGAACACATCTACAACACAGATCTCCTGGTCGATCAGGCAACTGCCGCAGCAGCAGCAGCCGCGGCTGCCGGGGATCCCTCGGTTGCCCACCACCACACATTGACCAACGGTAGTATTGTCGATGCTAAGACCGGACAGACGGTGCTGACGGCGGGCTCCGCGGCTGCAAAGTCGCACTTTGGGTCAATTGGGGCGCTGCACCTCACCCAAGAGGAGTGCAACGAGATCCTGATTAAGCGCGCCATCGCTGCCGGCCACCATCAGACGCACACAATCACCGCTGCCGACGGATCGCATCATCATAGCTCCGCGTCTGGCGCGACACCAAGTAAGCATCTCAAATCTGTGATTGTTGATTACCCAAATCCTCCCGCTCCTGCTCCTCCAAACTGTTCCTCCTACTGAACCCACTGATCCACTTTCCTACACCAATACCAATACCAATACCGATACCGATCCTCGTACTCCCTGTACTTGTGCGATGCACATCACTGCCGCCACTAGCACCACTGCCACCACTACCACAACCACTACCACCACCCGATTGATGTAAAATCCCGCAGTATCCGCACCCGGCATTGGCATATTCTCGGTTCTGGTTGCTTTATCCCCATATTCCGGTTGCATTACGTTATTTTACGTACAAATATTTGATTTAATTTGCTATTGCATTTATTGTTTTTGATTTATAATTTGATTTAAGTTCGCTTTCGTTTGGTTCGTTCTTTGATTTTCGTTTGTTTCTTCTCTTTTGTATTTTTTGTCTCTTCCTCTTGAATTCCATTTGGTTTCTGTTCCGTTGGCGGCGCAACAACACTCTTAGGTGACATACTTCCTGGTATTTCAGTTCAAGTCCAGAAAGTAATACAAGGACTCGAAGAGAACGAGGACTCGCAGGGCGACGCACCCAACTTAAAGTTGGAGCCAGGCACATTAGAGTTGTCCCCAAAGACCGAACTACAGGAATCAATGCATTTCAGCGAAGTAAGCCAACAATATCCACCATACATATACCACATCCCACTCGATCCCAATCGAAACACATGCCAAATTCAATTCCACGGGACTCAGGACTCGCCTCCTGGAGAACGCCAAGAGTCTGCCAAGAAAAGTAATCCATCTGCAACACGCCTTTCTCTCCCCGTTCTAGACGGACGCCACCATCAAGAAGGAACGCCCGTACAGTTGTGACGAGTGCGGCAAGTCCTTTCTGCTCAAGCATCATTTGACAACACACGCACGCGTGCACACAGGTGGTTGTTCTTGTTCCTATCCCTCTACCCCTATCCAGCGAGCGGGTCTAAC